TGATTAAATATATACACACACCATGTTCTTTCTATATTAATTAAGTCCAAACAAGAGAAATAAATTTTGAGAGTGGAATACGGGAAAAGATAAAATACACTTGATAAGAATAAACGTGTTCAATTGCTTCAAAAAAAGAATACACATGTTCAAGTCTCACGATTGCAGAATGGGCTAATTAATTATAACTCACAAAAGCTTTGACTAATTATAAATTATTAATAATATGAAATTAAAAATTCTATAGTGACAAACAGAATTTGGTTTCTTCACATGTTTATTAGAATTGATGTATCTAGATGTGTTGGATACATATTTATCTTTCCAAGTTCTCTGAGAACGTGAAGTTCATGACCGGACATGAACATACCGGTTATTGGTTAACCGATAATAACATATTTCTAAAACCGTAACCGTACCGCGAACCGTTTATTCTCACGGTTGGTTAACCGTACCGTGGATTTAAAAAATTGCGGTTCGGTTAACCGGGAAAAACGGCGGTTTTTCGGTTTTTAGGCGCGGTTATACGGTTACGGTTTTTTATGCCCACCCCTACTCAAAGCGTTGGAGTTTACCTACCTAGACCTATATTAAATCATGAATATTTATATGTGACATTACCGAGAGCTCAGAGCAAACATTCATTGAAGATGTTAATAAATAATACTCCCTTCGTTCCAATTTGTAAGATACTTTACGGTTTACGATGTTTGATCGACGATAAAACAAATTGATCTCTGTCAACACTCAAATTAGTTTTAGAAAATAAAATTTACATATTCAGAAACTACATTAAAACCGCTACAAAACCTGCAAAAAATATTTCAAATTTCATAACTTTTGATATATCAAGTAAAAGATTAAGGGTGATTTATGTTGATCAAATGAATAGTAAATGTATCTTACAATTTGGGACTGAGGGAGTATAAATGAGGAGAGGAATTCATTAGATGTTAATAAATAATATAAACATCATCTATAAAGAAGCTTTCAAAATCTCAAAAAAGTTTAAAGGTTTGTTTGTTAACAAATTTAACTGAATCAACTGAATTTGAAGAAATTGATGAAATTTTAGCTAAAGCAACTTAATTCGCTGAATCTGTTGAATTATGAAAAGGTTATACTTAAAATAATTTTATTAATAAAATACAAAAATATTATATGTATGACAAATTCTCCTTCGGTCCTACAAATCTTACCAAAAGTTTGACTTGCATGTTGAATAATAAAGCAAAAACTGCGTGATTTAGATTTGCGCACATGAAAGAGAAATAAATTTATCCACATATTCCTACTTTAAATGGAATTGACAACTTTTTGGGGACAACTAAGTAAGGAAGTTTAGCAAAGTTTTATGGAACGGAGCAAGTAGCAAATTAAATATTTTTGTACAATAACTTCGATAAAATTTAATCATAATAGTAACTTCAATGTTACTTATTATTTTGATTATTACATAATTCAATACGTGACATCGAAAGTTACCAAATGGGCTCTAAGTTTAATATTTCATAGTATGTTATCGCCAGCTCCCAATACTACTTAATAAGTAGCAAATTCTAAGGAATGGTTTCATTTAATTTTGCTAATATTCTCTTACTTTTAGTATTCATTCTTTGGACTTATACGTTATCCTACTAGATTATTGTTTTCCGGTTTTTCAAGAGTAAAATTCTACAAACTAACTTTATTATCATATATTTAATTAGACAAAAAAGAAAAATACATGCACCAACTGCTATTCCCCGTGCGTATGCACGGGTACTCGACTAGTTTATTTTATAATAATGTCACCTTCAAAAAGGGGATTTCCATAGTTAGACTTGTATCCCTACCCAGCCACTTTTAGTAAACATTTTTTCTCTCTACCTTTTCATTCACCTTGCTTTCTAACTTCTATCTAGTTCCATAACTCATCACTTTGTAAGTTGCAACTATTGTGCCCTATTTCAGTCACTAAAGTTTCCGAAAGAAAGACGGATTTATGGGATATTTGAGCTCCCAGTCCCAAAATACGGGAGTCAGAATTAGGTTTCCATTTTACGGGAAACGTGGATAGCGAATCCAAAAAAAGTAGGGCGGCAGGGAAAATAGAGCTCTCCAAATTGTGGATTTGGGAAATCCAAAATATGCAATCCAAAATATGCAAAACAAAAAACGTAGGCGATAGGAAAATATAGCCCTCCAAATTGTGGATTTGGGGAATCCAAGATTGTGGATAGTATTGTTTATTTTGTAATCTGTGCCCGTGCAGTCATGGTGCAGGTGGCAGAAGTCATGGTGCAGGTGGCAGAGCCCTTTACATTTCGGATACAAGAATTCATCCTACATTTTGGATTCAATGAATCCATACGTTTATTTTGTTGATTAAAAAAAAGGATTGTAGAGCTTCATTCTGATTGGACAAAAAAGATGTGCATGGATCCTCATCTATAATCCTTTTCAACCATAGGATCTCACAAATCCATCCCAATCCTCCAATTTTTTTATACGAAAATTGGAAATATCCTCTCCCCAACCTGTACCCTTGTCTATATAAATCCCATCAACATCAAATTCAACCTCCTATATACAAACAAAGTTATCTAGAAAAATATTGTTGAGTGTTGTTGCCAATTCTATTTGTTGTGTTCTTCAAATTAAGGTTAGAATATTTTTCTACTAATAAATAAATCTTAATAAGTAGTAAACCTATATATATTTGCTTATATAATTACCTATTAGTTTAGTTTATTTGTTATTACGAATTATTGATTATGTTCCATCCAAAATAAATTATTGATTACAATTATTAAACAATTAAATAATAATTTGAGAAATTTGTTATGTTATATAAATACATGTAACTAATACAATAGCATTTAATTAATTGGTTAAACAAACCGTTATGGCAATAATTATGTTAAAATTAACGCAAGCTCGTCTACAACTAGTCCATTTCTAGTTTCTCGCAAAGCCTTTGTCTAGAACTAGTCATTTTCTAGTTTCTGGCACGATGAGAATAGTGCTCTACGGCAAGTCATGCAAGACATAAAAGACAAATTCAATATTAATGTCAAGTACAAAAATGCGTGGTGTGGACGTTTGATTGCCCAATTTGTTGCACGCAATAAGAAATTCAAATCCGGGATCAGTGGTAGATTTCCAGGCAAATCCAACCGATAACGCTGGTACGTATGAATTTTGTCGTGCGTTTTGGGCTTTCAAAGCTTCCATTGATGGGTTCCAACATCGTCTGCCCGTAGTATCTGTTGATGATACGCACTTGTATGGAAAGTTCAAGGGTCGCCATGAATGTTAACCGTGAGATTTTCCCTCTCGCCTACGCAGTAGTAGAAAGTGAGAACACAGATAGTTGGTCCTGATTTTTGGAACACGTTATGAGTTCTGTTGTCGGATTAAATCGGCATGTGTGCATAATATCATATCGACATCCTGGCATCTTAAGTGCCTATCGATCAGTACCACAATTGAAAACCTCCCAAGTGTCAAAGCGATTCTGCCTCCGGCACATTAGAAGCAATTTCATGACAAAATTCAGGAGCATTGAACTGAAAAAGCTTTGTTGGCAGACGAGGAGTACATCTATGGTGAGTAAATTTTTTCAAACTATGGCTCAAATTCGTGTTAAGAATGAGAATGCGTTCACGTATTTGAATGATATTCCACATGAAAAATGGGCATTGCGCTTCGATGACGGACGGCGTTATGGTATTCTCACGACAAATCTTTCCGAGAGCTTCAATAACGTCCTAAAGGGATGCCGGACACTTCCAATCACCGCGCTTGTTAAGGCAACTTATAACAAAGTTGTCCAACTATTTGCCGACCCACGTAGGGCCGGTCAAATGTGGCGGCAAGCTGGATTCCTCTATCCGCAAAATATATGGAAAGATATTCTTGAACGTTCGCAGAAAAGACATCGGTGCACTGTTGTCCCGCATAACCGAAGTACGGGAATATACTCTGTTTCCATCCGTGATTATCCACCGGTAACAGTAAATCTTTCACGTCTTGAATGTGATTGCAGTTTTTGGAAGCAAAATGGATTTTCATGTGTGCACGCCTATGCGACATGTCATTTCTTAGAAATGACTGTAGATCATCTCATCCCGAGCGTGTATAAATTAGGTGCGTACATCCGCACATTAGGCACGTATGCTACAGATATTATGCCTTTGCATGACGTAAGTGCAATGCCAGATACTGGATATTTAGTGACACAACCTCAAAGTGCTAGACGCACTCAAACAGGTAGGCCTCAAAGAACCAGATTTATAAATGAAATGGATATGCATCCGAGAAGGAGAGCACAAGAGTGAAATTTTATATGTATTTTGTAACTCTTTTCAATAAATACAAATTTGTATTTCTTTGTCATGTTGTTTTTCAAAAAGAAATGAGTAATGAAATATTTAAATTTTTTATGTGCAGGAACACTCAAATAACTTCATAATACAATATCATTAAATATGTATATCCACTGATACAATCACCAACCTAACAATCGATTATTTTTGTACATATTATCTCATTCAATCAAACTCAAAACACTTCATCATAAAAATATATCTTGAATGCAAAAGTAATTGCAACTAAAAATTAAATCGATCAACTTTTACTTTTTGAAAAAATTCCCATCATTTTCGGGTGCCAAAAAATATAACTCGAATACATATACTCTATTATTTTTCCCACTAACAAATCTATATTGAATTATCTGTACATCAACATGTTTTTAAAAAATTGGGTACATACATAGAATAGAGACTAGAGAGTACCATATATCTCACCTAGTTAACTACCTACATTTTTTGAATTACACACATATTTCATATTCTGAGAAAACCTAAATATTTTCCCGCATTTTGGACTGTTATGCCAGCCTTTCCCGTAAAAAAGGAAATTACCCAAAGTTTCCCATGTCTTCATAACCTTACAAACATCGGAGAAATTATCCAAGGCAATAAGTAAATTTTTTGTTTTAAATAAATTTAATAGCCCTTTGAACGGCACAACATTAATTGGCACAGAAATGTCGCACAAAAAACACTGGTATATTATAAATACAAAATAGTTTACATGTGTTCTATTACATGAAGCAAGTTAGGGCTTCATGTTCTCATGTGAAACCAATCTCTACGATATGATTCTTGTATATATGTTTTGTGTATTATAAATCTGTTTTTCCCAAGATGTGTATTTGAGCATATTCTTTGCCACCCTATATCTACAACAGTCATGCTTTCCCAGCCTATCTTCTGAGAATGAATGTTTCCATGGACAAAAAAACTCCTGCCTAAACGAATGCCCCCTCCCCCACCATGCTACACATTTTACACCTACAAATGCAAAATTTCTACTACAAACTATATGTAAAGAATATGAAAAAATAATGGATTTACAACATAATATTGTGCAGCATATAAGATTTATAAGAAACCTCGAGGATCCCGCAGCCTTAATCCTGTAAAAAGTGGAAGCCAGGATTCTCGAGAAGTTCTTCTGCAGGCTTGACATCTGCAAAGTCCTTTACTTGAATCGTATCAGAAAGCTCATCTATTGAGAAGGGGATGCTGCATGGTTACAATCAAGGATTCATTACATCAATTATGTTACATAAGAGTACAGTAGCAGAAATCACTATATTATACACATAGCTAACTAGTTTCTAGTGTTAAAGAGGAAACAAATGTCTGGAATTGTGGACATGAAAACAGGCACTACGTGAAATATAGGAACTGTCACACTGATACTAATTTAATAAAAATATTCACGCCTAACAAAGAAACTTAAGAAATAATCAAAAATTATGACTAAAAATAAAATTAAAGGACAAAAGAATGACTTTTGATGCAGACCATAGTAGTATTTTTTGCAGTGACTGCGGTGACTATCTAAAGTGATGTTCTATTTTACATTGCAATGGCTGTGGTAAGATTTCTGCAGTGACATTGTCATCATATTTTTGTCCATAAATTCTATTGTAGTGATATATTAGGAAACCCCAATATTTGAAACAATAAATAGTCTACTTATTTATAATTTGTAATTTTGTAATATTATATCTCAACCGAATCAACACCTCTAAATAGGTACAAGAAATATCACCTTGAGTTATCATCCAAAAGAAAAGAGCTGCTTTCAGCATCATTTAGATCTTCAGTCATCAACACCCTCATGCTAGAAATGACCTGAGAACAAAAAAGTAAAAAAAAACATTCTTAAGCATTTGAAGTTTACCAAGTTCTTAAGGGTGGGGTGGAAAGTTACTTACATCCGATGACACACTTCGAGTATTGTAGTTGTCATCCCAATACAGAGTACATATTCTGTATAGTTGTTGGACACTAAGAATCTGACAAAAATAGAAGTGTTATTTCATGTGGGGCAGGGAAAAATTGCACATTGGTAGTAATCATGACAATTTTTAAAGGTCAACACTAAATTCTTATCAAAGGAAAAACTCTATTGGAGCATATCCAGATGCACTTACGGGACACAAATCATTAGTTATCTCATCATAAGATATTCTGTACTTCTGATGAATAACCTACAAATTAGTAGGAGTTGGATTAGTGCTTGAAATAATATAAACTAATCATCAATAGATCGCCCATAAGGCGAAGTAAAATTGGAGAGTGAATGAAGCACTAAAATCATATTAATAAAATAAACACACCAAGAACCCCACAGCTTGTCTTATATGTTTTAGTTCATCCCAGGCAGCACCTGCATACTGTGAATTAAGAAGCAAAATACTTACAAGTTGCAATTAGATGATTAACTGATAAAAATTCTGGTGGTGAAAAAAGTTACTTCTTCTTTAGCCTGGGCACACCATAGTTCTAGCTCAGCCAAACCAGCTTTGACATATTCCCCATTGTTGAACGTACAACATTCACGACGTAGAAGAAGACTTCATAGATAAAAAAATCAACAAATTTAGCCTGGCTCTATAATGACAAATCAGGAAAAGGAAACATTTAGACTATAAGTCTGAAAGCCACCTGTTAAACAACTGCACGTTGATGTAGGAGAACGTTTGTGTATATATCTTTTGAACGAGAATAGGGGGCACCTGATAACCCAAAAAGAAAGATCACTAACCTTACTTGACTACATCCGAAGATATTTTTTAAGAATGGAGAATGATGGAGGGTGAGGTTAAGTAGAGGTAAACTTAATAGTGAAAGAGATGATGAAAAACAAGTTGCAGAAGGCCCATACAAAATTTTCTTTCAATGTGCAAAGAAGAGAATTGAGGCATTCAATGATTCCAACCCAGTGATTTGCCTGAGAATCTTTGCTAAATGACCGTCCAGATCTTAGCACACTTCCTTTTGAGGCTCTGGGTGCCTGAATTTTACTAGGGTTAGAGTCAGTACAAGATAAATGAATACAACAAAATAGTATTGCTCATCATGTACTGCTTAGCCAACGAATTGCAATAAAATAAAGTATTAAGGGCTGAAACATTTGCAGTTTAGAAAAAGTTTGTTAACAAATCATAGAATGTCCACCATAAGTCAAATAATAAATAGCTCCAGTATACATTTTTTACCCCAGGGGGGTCGGGGAGGGGGGCCTAGGATAAACAGGCTTGAAACTGCAACTCTGAGTCTCATCCCAGTGTGGCCTTTGATATGGCGGTTTTGTATCCGGTTCTTGTTTTTTATATGAATTCAGTTATCTTTTGCCAAAAAAACGATACGTAAATGTTTCAACCGGCAATATTATTTAGATTTCCGGACAAAAAATCATACGTGGCGGACAAAATTCAATGCGTAGAGTCCATCATAAAGTAATGACATGGATAAAAGTAATGCGGAGAGTCAATTATACGTGGCAGCCATGAAGATATCATCCACAAAATATCGTGATTAAAATTTTAGGCAGATACTTCACAGTTCACATGATCTATGAAAAACAGTTGGTAAAATTAGGCCATAAGTATATTCTTTTTATTTTTAAGTAATACTTCTTTAAAAAACAACTGAGCAATAAGCATAAAAGAATATCTTTTGTGAGTCTTGCAATTAAGAAAGTTAATGTGCACTTCAAATTTTAAAGACATGACTTTTGTGCGAGTTTTTCGAGCAATTAAGAGATTAAATGAATGCTTCTGAAACAAATCCCTCCTATCAATAAGAGAATTTTTTGTTTGAAAAGCTTATAGAGGGTGATAATTTTAAGCACCTGTATACACAAAGATACTAGTGCTCCCAACTCCTTCTTCAAGTTGTCTCGAATAATACCATAGATTTTCTCAACATATGCTGTAAGCTGCTGCTTGAAAAGTAGAGCTGGATATTTGGCTTCAACTTGGCGAACTACCAGTGCAGCTGCTGCTGCGTCAACATTGACAGAAGAAGGTGAAGAGCGAAATCCCTGAAAACATGAAAGCACTAATAGTTTAGTAAACACAGAAATAGACACAGTTCAGGCGAACCCAGACTATATTCAGATCCGGTTTGACCACCTTCATTTAGAAGAGAAAATGCATAGTTGTATAGTACCATTGTCATTCTTCCGAACAGGGATGTTGGAGTTTGGTGTTTTCGGGAAGGAGTTGCACCGGCAGGTTTCAAACTTTTCTGGATTAAAAAAAGTAAGGTAGAAGTGTTTGACAGCCAATACGCCATGTGCTCGTTGTCTTCTTGATTCTGTAACATAGTAGATCTTTCATTACAATTTGATTTATTCTATCTGACAAGGTGCTGTGAGATTAACTACAATGATCAGTATAATCTCAGGATGTTTGGCATTTACTGATTAATTGATTATAGCCTGTACAGACTATAAAATAATTTGGCATTCACCAAACATTGGAGATGTTCATAAGAAATTCTGATGAATACTCCCTCCGTCCCAAAAAAGTTTGACAAATTGACTTTTCTTGGTCAATGGTAGTCAACCTTGACCAATGATATTTTTTAATACGAAATTATTTTGGATATGAAAATTATATTAAAACGTTCCTCATTAAAAATATTTTCATAAAAGTATAAATTTTATAAATTATATACAAATATAATAATTAAAATCATTTTCCTAAGTTTGCCATCAGGGGCGGATCTGCTTTGTTCAGGGTGTTCATGTGAACACCCAAAATTTTAAAGATACAATACAAAAATACATGTTAAGAATTGATGTAATAATTTTTTTATTTAATATCTTAGTGGTAAAATAATTTTGAACATCCAAAATCTGGTTGCAAGATCCGCCACTGTTTGCAATCAATCCCATCATTGATCAAGAGAAGTCAATATGGCAAACCTTTTTGGAACGGAGGTAGTAATTCATTAAAAAGTGTTTTGCTATTAGTTTTTCAAGAATGTACTCGACTTAAGTCCCTTGTTACGTTCAAGGGGGGTGAGAGAAGGGGAGGAGACAATAGAAAATGGAAATGATTGAGAAAATATTATGCTTAGACCAATGGAGAGTGGAGGAATTATTGCTTTAGTAATTAAAAATGTACATGTAACACGCTTTTGGTATAAATAAAGGTGAAATAATTAAGGAAAAAATAAACCCCCCAATCCACCAAATTGGGGGAGTGTGATATGAGGAGTTTGGAGGATATTATAGCTCCTCCACTTTCATCCTCCTTCCCCCTACATCCCGCAACCAAACATACATCACTCCAATTTCCTCCCCTCCCAAAACCTTCTAACCAAACAAGGGCTAGAAGAGTTCAAAAGAGTCGAGTACATCACGAGAATAAAATATATGTAGTATGATTGAATCTTAAACCCAGATATAGAAGATGCTAAGACAACAAGTTGTGGACTTGGCAGAGTTTCAAAGGTCTAATATATGTCCAAATACTAAAGCTCTTAGTGATGATAAGTGACAAATATGGTAATTAATAGTGTGCTTTGCATATTCATACCAAACTCTTTACAGTGTGCTCCTTTCAAAATTAAAATCAACATTTGGCAGGATGGCCAGGAGCATTAAGGTAACTTTCCCATTCCAATAGTTATATTACCTCAATAGCAGAACCAATCATATTTATTAGACGGTCAAAAACACTTGTTCTATCAGCTTCGAAAGATTTCCAATTGAGAAGGCATTTGTAAATAGTAAAAGCTGCAACAGGTTTTCCTTGACTAAAACCAATATCCTTCATTACACAATTAATGAGTGCATCAACATCCTCCTGCAACAAGACCAACAAGAACACATCAACAACAAATTTAGGCAAGGGATTTTCCACAATTTCAAAGGAGGCACATACATGCTGTCGATCAACTGGAGGCTTCTTTGGTTTGTTATCAGGAGTTTCAAAGATTATAGCAGGTGACGGACTAGATGGTTCCTGCAGGTATCAAACATTTACTTACCATAAATCATCGTATTGAGTATAATTTGGCATTCTTTAGTTGAGGCAAATCTTCTATACAGAAGAATGTATTACCCCAGTTCTGTTTTCGTCATTCAGAAGGTGCCCATTTTCCAGTATCTGCATATTTGCTATATTAATTGAAGAACGAGGGATATAGAAAAGAGAACCAGGAAACACTTAATCCCGCATTATCACCTTGGCCAAAGTCAAGGGTTCTGACATCTGCTTAGCTGGTGTCATCAGGGCCTGCTTTCGAAGAATTTTATTTTCTGACTCCATGTCAAAAACTTTTTCTTCAAGCCTAGGTTTAAAAAGATTATTACAATGATACTCAGAAATGGCATTATGGCATTTTTCCATATCAGGTCATACATAGTTTAGAATTTCACTAACTATTTAGAAAGAAGTCATCCGACCTTTGCATAGCACTCTTCAAATTAACAATCTTTGACTCTGCCTCCATCACTTGCCTCAACCTTTCCTCACTTAGTTTGCTTGTTTCTTCAAATTTTTTCTCTGTTTCATCAATCTTCATTTCTAGAGAGCTAACCATAGTCTGCAGCATCAACAACAAAGCATCACTAAGAGAATAGACACAGTCACAGACTCACAGTGCTTCGCAGATCCATAAACATCCTGATACTAACCTTGAGCTTTTCATTTTCAGCAGTAAGCTTATTGATTGTGACATGGTCAATAACAGGGACTTCCTGTATGATTGGGACTTTCTCTGCTTCCTTTGCACATTCACGCTCTTGAACAAGCATTTCTTTAGTCTCCTTGAACCTGGCTTGCAGCTCTTGCAAAGCAGATTGTAGTTTTGCATTTTCTTGTGTTTTTGCTTCTTCCAAGTCAGCCTACAACAAAGAATGGAGGCTTTGGATTGGAAGGGAGGGTAGAGAGTTGTAAAAAAAAGACAGATTATCTCAACACTATGACTAGAAAATCTATTATTGGAATGGATAGAACCTGGAAGTCATGTCAAGCTTCAATTATCGGTCTATCAATTGTATGATCAAACAAGCTCTAATCGAAATGGATTACTTTTTACTTCATTGTTCCACAAGGTTGATTCCTCAACCCCAAGGCCCCCCCACGCCCTTGCCCGACAAAGCATGCGGGGGGTTGTTAATCATGGTAACTCAGCTAAACATAGAGGCTAGACTAGTGCCCTCTGCGCACATCCCTCACTTTGAGAGATGGCTCCCACACAGCCATTGGCAGGATTCGATCTTGGGTCATTGTTCCAAATTACTTCATGGTACACAGAAAGGAGTCTAATCGAGTTTATGAGTGGTATACTGGTATCTGGTAATGGTTTACAGTATCACTTCATGGTGGCATGACCAAGTGTAATAGTAGGATCACTTAAACTTATATGCACTAAACTTATATGCACGAATCAGACAAAAAGTAGATTAGTTAAATTTCAATTGTATAGCACTAAAATCATACAGAGTATTTAATAGTAAATCTTATATGCTTAGAAATTTGCAAGTGTGAAATTTGAAGATGAACAAAACAACAATCTAAAGAACATAGTTGACAAAACAAGTTTATATTTGTTCAAATAAAAAGATTATTTTATTATGCATCTAGTTTTGGTAGACTTCAGTGTTATGAAAATGCGAGTTAAGTTATTGTTTTTAAATCGTTGAAACCTAACGTACTTTTGCAATGTACCAGATTTTCTTATTTTTGAAAGAGAATTATAAGAACTGGTCTCAGTAGATTCACTTGAATTTGGTGCATTTACTCACCCGCATGCGTTTCTCCAGTTGTAGTCTCCAAGTCAATTCTTCAACTTGCTTCTCTAATTTATTCTTCGCTGCTTGGAGAGCACCTGTCTCCCGTGCAGCCTGCGTTGGAATATAATTCAAATATTCAATATAGAAAAAGAAAACCATAATATGATCCAAAAAGAAACTTGAATAAAAAAATCCAATAAAAAACAAGAGTGTTTTTACAATCAGACAATTGAGGATCAAATAGAGTTCACCAAAAACTAGAAGGCAAATCATTTAATTATCCAGGTATAAAAATAAACTTCAAAGTGCAACAAACTGAAGCAATACAATGACGGATAGACATGCCAGTCTATGCACTGTGTGAGACATTTTAGCATCAGATTTACTCAACAAGGAATGGTTGGACAAAGAGGGTTGGCTAACTAATAAACAAAATAAACAGAGAAATGCAGAAAGACATGTTACCATCTTAAGATTTCGTAGTTCTTTGCGAGCAGCTCTTGCTCTCCAAGCACATTGTGTGGTAAGTGCAGCTCTCCTCATCTTCTTAAAATCTATACGGGCTAAGAATTTGCGACAATGGCTCTGAACAAATAAAATGTGTCATTAAGAAACTTCAGCTAAAGAATGTGCATCACATGAGTGCGCAAGAAAACCAAAAAAAAGGGAGATGTTGTTTAGGTACAAAGTATTTCATTATCCCTACCAATGAGATTAACAAATAGACCAACAGATCATGGTAAAATACCTGAATGATAATTGCTGCCTTTGTTTGTCTTCTGAAACGAAGCTCATTGTGTGCATCCATCCCACGCATGCCTGTCTGAATTAAAATAGCTGCAGAGCACAACTCTTTGTAACCCTTCCTAGCAAAATGCATACGCATATTTCTCTGGATCTTAATACTGGAAGCTTCTCTCCTCAAGCCCTCGTAGACTTGTCGAGCAAGCTCTCCTGTAGAGAACAAAGAGAAAAGAGCTAAGAGTCCCTAAGATATACAATAAATGATATTATACGCTAATACCAATGCTGCCGCACAACAGGGGATCTGAGGAAGGGAGTGATCTAAGGCGCTTTTGCTTGCTATTTGCAAGGTGGACTCGAACAATAAAATTCCAAGACACAAGGGGGGAGACTCCACCAGTCCTAAAATATATATGGGCAAAGTGGGGTTTAGGCAGATATGAATACCTCTGCAAACAGATTGCATATGCATTGCTGACCGACGCAACAACGTTAAATATTTACAAGCCATATAAGAACGAATTTTTCTTTGGATTATGCTTGCAGATCTTCCTAAGACCTCATTTCTGCGAGCATCCAGCTCTGCCATCTGACCAGCTCTTAGAAAGACCTTTGTTTTCCCAATCTGCAAAAAAAAGGAAGAATGGATCAATTAAATGAGTTCATATTGCACACAGGTATGGAAAAGTGCATGATGATATAAGGTTGATATAAGGTTCGACCGGTCATTCAAGAATGTTCACCTTTGATAAACAGTTAAAACTTAGAATACATTATCTAAAGATTATAGACAAGAAAAATCAGGAATATATCATGGACCATGCAGTACTGGCCAACATTATTTTACTCTCGGCCAGCCAAAAAGGTCATAAGCACAGTCCTATGCTGTGGTATCATCACTAGTGCACAATATCCTACTTCATATTACCTGATAGCCTTCAAGTTTTACTTTGTTCAGAAGCATCTTGCATGCAGCGACCTCATCCGCACTGTCATTAATTCCGTCAAGAGTTTCAAGACTGAATCATTCTAATCACTTATTGGAATTTTAAAAGGTACGAGCTCACATACCTTTTATCTAATACTTCAGGAGCAAGGATACCAAAGCGGTCTAAAAATTCGTAGAAAGGTTTGCGAGTGGGATATCCAGCACAACTTATTCTAATTGCTTCCATAACTCCCTAGAGGGGGAAACACCAGCATAGCAAGTGAAAAAAATCAATCGTTGAACTTCTAATTCCCTATATGATACCAATGATGAGAAACTCAATAAGACTTCCTTACCCCACAACGGAGTTGTTGCAAAACATTAGGATTCTCAAAAATAGCTGGTTTAAGCAAATTGTTAGGCTTTACACAGCGAATATAGTGCGGCTCGGTGGCATTTAGAGTCTCAAGCAAAGATTGCAATTGTTGCTGCACATGTAAGAGAGTGAAATGTTATGGTTCATTGAGTGGCGTGCTCCCCATAATAAACAAAGATGAGACAAATGAGAGTACAAATGTAGGCGTACTTTAAACCTGGTGCCGATAGAAGAGAATTTTGATTGTTTTGAAGACTCCTCAGTTGACTGTGGAAACAAACCTGAAACGAAGTGGCACTTGGAAGCACTTAGAAGTGCTTGGTGTTCAGCAATGACATAATCTTTATTTTTATCAAGGAACAGTTCGGTTTGGTAAGTGACCTGAAATGTTATACAATGTTCAATTCATAAAATATGGAGGCTTTTGCTATATTCCTCCTCTCTCAAATTATAATTTAATACTGTAAATACATAAGGAGCAAAACATACATCACCAGCATAATGGCAAATAGTGAAGTCGGAACGAGACAATTTCGGCTTGCTGAAACGCTTATTGTTCTTAAAAGTTTGATAAAGTTTTTGAGCAAATGTTTCATGAGTTGATCTGGGAAACATACTGCAAGAAAAGACCATAATACATCAATCTGATCTGTTGGAAATATAACCAAATGCAGAAGAAAATATATCTAGTACTATTCATGGTGGTTTAAATTGATATTTACCAAGCTTCATCAAGAAGTGCTATAATACCACCTGGTTTCTGGGAAACAAAAAAACTGTAGTAAGCAATATTAAGCACACAAATGTAACGAATGGAAGGAGACTCCTGGTTTTCTTTTTTACAGCATTCGCAAACTAGGAAATAGTAGGAACCAACAAGAGAAAACTCAACTTGAACAAGAAACAAATAGATGTGTATGATTTAACAATATGATCAACATTAAGAAGATAAAGTGTGTCAAGTAAAAAAGTGCAATGTAGATGGGGCAAAGCCCTGGTGAAAAGTACTTAAGAAAAGGAGTAGACACAATGGAGTTTGGACTGACATGTTCAATGGAGGAGGAAATGGGATTAACCATATTTATGCATTAGGTGTTTAGAAGAGAATATAGATAAAAGTATAAAATTTAAAAAATGAACCTAAATAGGGGTAAAATGAAGGTAGTTTCACTAAATAGGAGTACTATGTTTTTGTTCTGAATAGTAATAATTATTGTCATCTCGAAATGATATTGTCATTTTATGGCATCAATACTATCATATTAATGTTTGATAATGCCATAATATGGCAATATGATGTCGGGATGGAAGTACTCCATTCTTTTGGTTAGGGGGAACATAGTACTCCTATTAAGAGGAACAACCTTCTTTTTACCCTTATTTTGGAAAGTTTCCCATAAGTTTTCAACTAATCCTGTATCAGCTTGAAGAAGAAAAATACATGAGAATAACCTTTTCAATTAGATCTAGAACATCTTGATTGTCAATGAACTCAATATAGCTCCAGTTAATTTCTTCTTTTGTATACTCTTCTTGTTCCATTTTGAAAACGTGCTGTCAAAGGGGAGATATTGTTATCATATTTGAACACACTGAAAAACCAAGAGAACAAAAACCGAGTAAAACCTGATTGAAATGCTGCTGAAGCTTTTCATTTGTCAGATTTATACAGAACTGTTCAAAGCTGAAGAGAACACACTGCCCGATCAGAATAAGAAAACTTTCTATACATGTATTCGGCAGATAGCCAACTTTCTACTTCAGATGATACAACACAAAACATATAGCTCTTTAGACCATGGTTAACTTGTGAAAAAAAGGAAATAAAGTATAGACAATAACCTTCCTTACTCAAGGAAGACAAATGGTATTCTCACTAAGCAAGCTAATATCCGGGATACAGTTTTAAAATGAGGTGTAGCAAAAGGCATTACGCATAGACTTATAAGACCATTTCACAAGTGTTCTATCAGTCCAGAAAAAAAGGATGAAACTCCATCCCTGAGGGGCCCCCAGCACCGGCCGAACAGTTAACAAGGAGGATGTAAATTGGACTTTAATCTCAAGCTAACAGATAGCGAGTGGGGCACTGGCCCAGGTACTTGCAGAGGTCATATGCATTTTTACATAGTGACCCCTCATCGCAGTTGCCGGGAGTCGAACCGAGACTCACCCCTTGTGGCAGCCCCTATCTACCAGTTGAGCTATGCCCACCGGCAGTGTTCTATCAGTCCAGAGGTGTAACATTAAGCATAAGTTAATCATTAGAAAGCACAGAATAATTGATTGGATGTGGAAGCAAATTGAAACACCACTTTGATAGAGCCTACAGCCCTACATATCTTAAGGGTTGAATAATTTTAAGAAAAATCTAGACAATTACGGCAAGGCAAGATCGCACATAATCTAAAGTAATACGCATACATTGAAATACCTGTTAGTCTTGAAACTCTCGAACCCATAGATATCCAGCACTCCAATTAAGGATTTTGAATCGGGGTCTTGACCAAGTGAACTATTGATTTTATCTACTAGCCTGCACATAAAGTAGGATGACATAAGAATATTTATTCACTTTCAATAACCCCAAATTGAATGAAGTACATTGCATAGAAATAATGAACATGTAGATTGCAATGATTGCATCCACCTCTGGAAAATAAAGGCTCACCAATCAAACAATCTTGAATATACAACTTTTGCCAAAGCATCTCTACTGACAGTGGCAGCTTCCGGATCCAGGCATTTGGTGATAGTCTCATCACGAGTTACAATAACACGTTCACAGAGGGAGCTTTCTAATGCCTTAGCATCACACCTACAAATAACTTTGTATTTGAGAATTTGCAAATTTTTTCCTTCTTAGACTTCTTACTAAAACAAAATATCATAAGCTAAGGATTTTTTGGATAATCATGAAACTTCATAATACATAATGGATTGTTTACATGAACAGCTCGGCTGCAGTTCTTAAATGAAACCAAGACTTTTCATCTTTGGGAACTGATGAGTCTATTTCCGTTCCCTTTTCAAATTTTATGTTCCCAAGATGGAGGATCGCGGCCACAACACGAAATATTGCATCCTGAAAGAAAAAATTATTGCAGGGGTGGAAATACTAGAAACACTTCATTCAGATTCACTTTTTATTTTACAATCCACCAAATACCTGCTCTTCAGAACTTATTCCAACAATATCCATTGCTTTTCTTGTTTCTAAGTATTCTTTTGCCTCATCAACCCCATCTAATTGATAGCAATTTGATTGGTTTAGATAATGGAATGTCCTTGGATCTCCCAGTTTGTACTTTTGTACATCCTGACAATGAAAAATATGGAATCCCAATGTTGTAGTTCTACTAAAACAGAAGCTTAACACAGCATAACATTAAATGAAGCTAATGAAGTATTATAGTATACTAGAACCCAGAAGTGAAAGGGCATTGCTGAAGTTCCATTTTAAAAATCTTATGGTTAAGGCCTTAAGGGAGTTCTGCAAAAAATGAAAATAGAAATGGAAAACAAATCCCTTTACCTCTGAAGGTGCACCACATAGCAAATAGAAACAATGATAATTTCTCTCGGGATCAGAAACTTGGCAAACCCGAGATCTTTCCAGTAAATATGTTCTGATTGCAGCGCCTGAAATCCTTCCCTTCTGATCAAACTGAATCTCCACGAACTTACCAAAACGGCTGCAATTCTAGTTTAAGCACTGTGAGTAACAACTCAGAAACACACAAAAGACAACTAGAAAGTGCCAAAATAGTGCAATACATTGAAAACTTTAATGACTAGGAAGAAGTCTTTCCCACCTAGAGTTATTGTTTCTGACAGTCTTTGCATTACCGAAGGCTTCCAGCACAGGATTAGACTGAAAAGAATCACAATACAGAGTAAGAGTCTAAGAGGAGCCTCATACAAAGGTGTTTTTTAATATGAGAAGATGGTGTTATTGAGCATCAGGTTGCCAAGTAAGTTCAGACATGTCAGACCTCCAGGACTTTCTGCTCAACTGTCCTCCCATTAGTTGCAGCTCTCCCTCCCATGTAAGCAAGATAACGCATTAACTGCTTTGTACTTTCTGTTTTTCCAGCCCCGCTCTCACCACTTACCAATATTGACTGACTTATTCCTTCGCTGATCATAAGTCTGTATCCACAGGAATTTTATTTTTGCTCTCAGTTTGCAAACAAAGTAAGTGTTCAACTGGTGAACCAGGCATGTTTCCTTACCGATATGCAGCATCTGCTACAGCAAAGGGATGAGGACTGAGCTCCCCAAAGGAAGCACCCTTATACTGTGCCATCATATGAGTGTCATAGAGGTGAGGCAATCTTCTAAAAGGGTTGACAGCGATTAATATATTTCCTGTATAAGTCTGCCAAATGCATACAATTAGCATAGAAGTCTTAGCTAAGGTTTATTTATATTAAAAAAAACATAATGAGGATGTATTTAAGAAACATACATATATTTCATTCATATCATATCTGGTTTTTATATTCTGAAGAACTCCAGGTTCATGCAGATATGCCAGCTTTGTCATATCATCAACACCACATGGTGGAGCTTCAGTATCTTTATGATATATTTTGGAGTAATTAACAACAACCTGTTAAATGGAAATAAAACTCAGTACTTTAGGCCCTACACTTTTTAGAAATCAACTTATTCAAAAGCATATATCTTTTCCAATATACTACAGGGAGAAATGACCAAGTGCTTGACATGAGTATATATTGTATACTCATTTCACAATGCAACATTGTTGGAGTGGCTTTATACTCATTTTATACTCACCGTTTTTCCAGATGTGCAAAGAACCTTGACATCTTCACCTTTGACCTCCAAAACTTCCCCATCTATCCAGGCTACATCAGGATCCTCCACCCAGACAAGAGAGCCAGCACTTAAGCTGACTAAAGCAGCCTGCAAAATATAACCGCTAGATTGACCATCTGAAATAGTAGAATCTCAAAAGATATGAAAATATTGTTTATTATGAGGAGACCATCTAATCCCGGAAGGTGATATGCAAGTCCAAGAAAAAAATCCTCAAAAGTTCCAAATATGGCTAAAATGTCTAAATCGATATCTACATTATATATATGATATATCAAGTCGAGCAAATGCACAACCACTCTTCTATGAGTAGGGATCAGCTGCAGGAAGATTCTCTAGCAGAGTACCAGTAGATAAGATATGTCTCCTTTGAGAAATTTCTGTGTAGTGGGGGTGGGTTAGGGGTTGACATTTCAAGAATGCTCAAGGAAAGAATCAAAGATTTGTTAAAAACGCAATTCCCGAAATGATCCCCCCGGGAAGTCAGGCCTAGTCTAATTCAGTCTAAGCTAATTGACCAGTGTTAGACTTCAGTTGAACCAAAAGAAAACCGTAAACCAAATATAAACGATCAATATATACAGGTACCATGAACAAAAATCATTATAATCCATATGCAAATTCTCATGGATGCGAGATTATCAAATCCATAATAAAATAAGTGACAAATCGTACCATTTTTTCTGAATGAAACTGCAAGAAGATCAGATCAGTTCTATAGTCGGATCAAAGCCGCTGTTTTTCACTTCAGTTTGCAAATGCAGAAAGCAATGAGCAACACCAGCTCCAGTTTCGCAGATTTCCTCGACGAGATCTATGAGCTAGTTGGTTTTCATTCTTCTTCAACTTAGTCTGTCATTCATCTCCGATGATGCGGAGAGGTTTATGGGAGACGAGAATGAGAGTTTCCTTCTGCACTCTTCCTTGCTTCCCTGGCCTGTATATTGATTTTTCTTTTCTTTTTCTTACCTTCTACGCGGCCCACGATTTTAGGGACTTGGTCTGAACCTGGATGACTAAAGTAGTAAAGATTAATCTTTTTGGTTAATGCTAATCAATTACGGACTACTGCGTGTTAATAGAGGATTTAATAAATGGATCGTTAAACGAAGTTGATTTCCGTGTATACCCCTTGCGTCACATCGAGGGACTTGCTAAGCTTGGCATTTCCATTAATGTACGGAGTATTAAATTAATTAAATGCCTAATGGAAAGTCAATATATGGTAATATTATAATTATTATTATAAGAAAAATGAGCTGATTTTTTGTTCTCAGTAGAGGAAAATGAGCATCATCCTCTATCGTACGCATGTTTTCACCTTTCACTATAGTGTTTTTATTGTAAGTTTTCTGTTTTCACTATCCTTTGAAATTCTCTAATAGTTTAAACTAATCTAGGGAGAACTACCAAATAAGCCCTCGAACTTTCATAAAAAGTGTAAATAAGCCATTTTATAAGATGCTCTGTCCGGCCGTCGTCATTTGTGGCGGTTTACTGTGTAATTTTTTGATGAATTTTTTTGAGCATCTTCTTCATTAAGTCTAGTTTACTCATACTTAATTTCAGCTAAAAATTCAATCGGGAAGTCAGTCAAAAGAGTTTTTGAAGATAACTGCGCAATTAGGCAGCGCAGTATACTTCAGCAAATCATTTGACTGCCTTCTCGATTGCTTTTTTAGCTGAAATTTGATATGGGTAAATTAGACTTAATGAAGAAGATGCTCTAAAAATTTCATCAAAAAATGCCAATGGAAACAACACCAAATGGAAACAGCTAGACAAAGCCTCCTGTAAAAAGGCTTATTTGCACTTTTTATGAAAGTTCGAGGGCTTATTTGATAGTTCTCCCAACTAATCTATAAATATGATCTTGTTTTGTTTAATCTGAGACAAACCAATCAAAGTAAAAACCTACTAATTAAAGTATATGACATGATATTGTAAGATCGTCTTCATTTACGTTTTTTAAATAAATAAAGTGAATTTCTCTTACACTTAATTGTCTCACCGTTGTTATAAAGTAAAATTTTTTATCATCAAATCCAACTAATATATTAACTCAAAATAACGTTCATCACATGGCTGATAATACAATCAAATAAAAAGAAGTAAACAAAGCGATAAAAAGTCTTATATTTGTCGTCCGCCCTCGACCCAGACTTAGAATATATCACCTCTGTAGAAATAATAATATTTGTTGATCCTGTAATGAGCTTAATTGAGCCAGTGACTAGCAAACCAGACTTCTCATCACCTGACTTAAAATCAAGAAACTCTCTGCTAAGAAATAAGAAACATCCAAAACAACATGCAATTCTAAATAAAAATACAAACAGAATAAAACCGAATTAAAACAGCGTCCACTCATCTTCTTCCAAACCCTAGACTTGCTTGCACTTCATGGCGACGGCTCGAGAGGGGGGCACCGCTCATCCGCCTCTATAGTCATGCTTTTGTATTGAATGACGATATCCTCTTTTGTCATCCCTTGCTGCTGAATCGAAACCATACTCCGCCACAGCTTATCCACTTTTTCTTTGTCAACACTCGACCTTCGACCAAAAACAATAGCAGAAGTCGAGCCCTGACCGCCACAGTGTTGCATCCCTGGTCCCAAGCCTGCTTGCATGATCGAAAACGATCACCGGCCACTCTTCGTTGATGAAAAAGCGGAAGAAACAAAACCCTAACTCGTAGGGAGATGACCGCTAGAGAGAAGACTCTCCAATTCCAACAATTGGCCGGAAAACCCCAACCCCACTCCTCGACAAAGGCCGATAGCGGATGAATCCAAGCTAGTAGTTACCTTGCGTCAACCCTAGAGAGACGGACGAGCCTTACTGTTGATACCGTATATAAATACTCAGATAGCTTTACATAGTTTGTTATAAAGTCAACTTTAAATAACCTCAAAACTCTTCATCACAACAATGATATTCAAATAATTAAATTGTATAGATCATGCATTAAATACTCTGTGTATTTTAACTACATACTGTCTGCAATAATTTGGAATTTTAATTTTAATATCAGATTTTCTTTTAAATAATCTCACTAAATACATTTTTATCCCTTGATGATAACATTTAAAATAATAATCTAACGCTTGATTAATTGTCTTCAATTCAAATAAACTAATGAATGAGGGTGCCCTAAAAATTATGATTGAGGGTGTATACATTTTTTTCAAATTTATTACTCCGTACTTTGTACTTTGTTAATCATATTTTTGTCTATATGTAAAATAGTCACTTTTGAGATATAAGTTTAAATTTAGTCATATTTTAGAAAAATCCTTATCTTAATACATAATCCATGCATATGCTCTTTTTGGTGTTTTTCACGCGTATTTTTTTGGGGTTGAATAAATTTTATTAATAGCATAAAAGAAAATACAATGTAGGGGGGCATGAAGCCAAAACCTAGAGAGAAAGGAAAGGAAATAAAATTAAAACAGTAAATGATATAAGGAAAGGCAATTGCATGAAATTTGAGAATGTTTTTGAAGTATGAAGATTCAACGTCAATGCCTAAACTAATGGCATTTGCTGCTCTGTTAGCCAGATCCGCAACATGTCTCATGAGAATATGGTTTTGATGAAGAATCTTCCTGATGCAAGATATAGCAAAGATGGACTTCCATTGCAGGTTAATGGACTGTAGCACTTCGTGATTTGAGATCTCAATGACATTTAAATGTTGTCCATTGTGCCTGCATAAATTAAGAAAGCAGTGAAAGGTCTCAATGAATGCATTATGCCAGTAATTGTTGAAAAGACTTTGAAAGTGGTGTGTGATTTTCTTCCCTTTGTGGTTACGAATTATGAAACCAAAATTGTTGGTATGACCATTAGGGGAGTGGGCGATATTTAACGTGAATTGATTAATCGGAGGAGGTCTCCAAGTAACAATAGAAGGTTTACTCTTACGGGATTTTTCCACGGTAATATGGACATTAAAATTGTTAAGATCCCTATGTGTGTTGTAGATAGCCTCAGAGTTATTAGGGATGATATCCTCATAGAAAGTAGTGTTTCTCATTTTCCAAAGGTTCCAAAGAATAGTTTCATAACAAAGAAAATGTGTATGTTTGGTCCATAGAAGAATATTGTCCTTCAAATTGCCATCCAACCGGTGATTAGGAATTTCGAAATGTTCCCAAATGGATGTATGAGAGGGGCAACGAAGGAAGTAGTGATCCAAGTAATCCCAGTGGTTGCAATGAGGACATTTGAATGGACCGTTAAAACCCATATTGGTGAGAGAAACCGCATTAACCACCAGGTTATTTAAAATGCGCCAAAGAAAAAAGGACACTTTTTTTGGGATCGATTTCTTCCATATGCGGGTGAAACTCTTATCTTTGCACCTCTTAATCTCTTATCCCTAATCTCATCATAGGCCGTGCGAAATGTGAAAATCCCGTTACAGTTTTTCTTCCAGATGATAGGATCCGACTCATCTTTGCACCTTTTGTGTTTTTCATGCGTAATTAATATCAAATGTTCCACTAAGATGAATTAAATGTTTTGAATTTATCAATTTATCAAATTCGAAACATTGATGTATCCATGTCTAAAAGAATTGAAAGTTACTTTTTACATATATATTGTCAATTAAAAAAGTTTTTTTCATCAAAGGAGCAAGGATGAAATTATATGAATAAAAAAATAACTCTTTTGTATGTATGGCCAGTTTATAAATCTCTTGTATTTAATTGTCAAGCAAACCAAGGATATGAAATTATATCCTTACTTGTTGTATATTTGAACTATTTCTTCTTGATCCACATTTGTTTTTGTTTTTTTAAACCAACACAAAGTTTTTTCACAACAACCAAACAATTGAAAGCAAATTGAAATTAGTTGAACCAACCAAGTTGTGGAGTGAATATATGAAAGACAAAGCAAATCAAGCCAATCTTTTTCAGTTTTTAGATTGATATTAGGACAAAACCAAACAAAAATCACCCCTACTGAAAAGTTTAATCCTTCATCGTCAATTAAAAGGTCAATACTTCAATGTCAATAGATCACTATAAGTCATTCATCATTGTCATCGATCTTCTTCCATTAGCTTCATTACCCAATCATTTTTTGCCTTTCTTTCCTTTAATCTTCTTTTACCCCTTACTCCCCCACACAATTTCATCTTAGTTATTTTTTATTTATAGGAATTTGCACCTCAATATTAATATACATTTCTAACTCTGGATGAAGATATTAGTTACTTCAAGTATGTGATGTAAACTCGCATTTTACAATAAAACGTGTCAAATTTGAATCTTCATATGTTTTCACTTGGATTAGAATTTTCAAATCTAATATGGTCTAATATGAACTGTTTTGTTCTTCTCTTCTTAGGTTTATCATGATTTGTGTGTATTTTACTATTATCTAAGACTAGTTTGATCTCAAGTTCATTAAGATTTATTCTTGTTTGGTGTGATGCCTTAAGTCAATCACGTTTGTACTTTTTTCTTTTACTAATTTCATGTTTTTCCTGTATCCAGTCGTCTGTTCCCTCATTTAGATTTTGATTTCATGTGGATCTAAATACTTCATCCTCAAGTAATATATGATTTGAAAAGGGCGATTAGTTTAGCAAAAAGAAAAAAGATAAAGGTAAAGCAATAAAAAAGAAAAGAGAAAAAAAGAATGAAATGACAAGTGGAAAAGAAAACGTTGAGAGAGAAAAAGATAAGAATATAAGAAAAGACCAAATGGATTATCGTGATTAGCGACAATCTCGCAATAACTTACACACTAAATTTATGTTACGTTACTCTAAAAAAAAGCGCTGAACAGTGTTGATAAACAAAGGACTTCTACATACAACAAACAATTATTCAAGATGATTGATACGTATAATATAAAATGTTACACTTTTTAAATATGTATATGATTTTAAATGACTATAAAAGGTAAATAGGTGTCATGACTGGGAACCGGGGGTGGTAAGAAAGATGGTTAATACTCCTTCCATCCAAAAACAAATTGTCAACTTTTCTTATTTAATCATCCCAAAAAAGTTTGTCATC